TAAAGACCATTATATGTGTTGAAAGAATCTGGATGCATTTTGTATAACCCCTTTAGGGAATATTTGTTGAAGAAGAGTTATAAAAATGATGATGTGTGCCCATGTGTTTTCATAAAGAAAACAAATATTGGGTTTGCATTTGTACAGTTTATGTTGATGATTTAAATTTAATTTGAACACCTGAAGAGCTAAACAAAACTGCTGATTATTTGAAAAATGAATTTGAGATGAAAGATTTGGGACAAATCAAATATTATCTTGGATTGCAGATTGAACATTTCGTAGATAGATTATTTGTTCACCAATTTACGTATATAGAAAAAGTTTTAAAACGTTTTTATATAGATAATGCATATCCATTAGCATCACCTATGGTTGTTCAATTACTTGATGTGAAAAATGATCTATTTTGTCCACTTGAAAAGGAGAAAAGATTCTTGGTCCTGAAGTACTATATCATATGCAATTGAAGCATTAACTTATATTGCAAATTGTACTTGACCCAAAATAACATTTTTTGTAAATCTCTTTACAAGGTATAACTCCACACCAATTCAAAGACATTGGAACGATGTTAAACATATTTTTCGTTACCTGAAGGATACTATTGATTTGAGATTATTTTATTCTCAAAAGTCGGGATCTGCTTTAGTGAGATATGCAGATACAGGTTATCTATCTGACCCACATAAAGTTAAATCACAAACAGGATATGTATTTACACGTGGAGGAACGGTTATATCATGAAGATCTGTGAAGCAATCCTTGAAAGCTACATCTTCAAATCATTTTGAAATTATTGCAATTTATGAAGCGGGCCGAGAATGTGTACGGTTGAGAACATGATCTATCATATCCAAGCATCATGCGAGTTAACTCTAACAAAGGATAGTTGAATAACTTTGTATAGAGACAATGCAGCTTGTGTTCACAACTCGGATGAGACTATATTAAAGGTAACAAAACGAAACATATTTCTCCAAAATTCTTTCATACACACATGAGCTTTAAAAGAATGACGACATCAATTTTCAACAAATTCGTTCAAGTGACAATTTGATCGATTTATTTACAAAAGCACAGTCAACATCTACATTCAATAAATTAGTTCATGAGATTGGAATGCGTTGATTCAAAGATCTTCAGTTATGAACATCCGGAGGAGTAGTTGTACTCTTTTTCCTTTGCATATGTTTTATCTCACGAGTTTTCCTAACAAGATTTTAATGAGGCAGCATTTATTTTTAATACTTCAAAATAACTGTACACTTTTTTTTTGTTTGATTATTTTCCCATTGGATTTTTATCAAATAAGGTTTTAACAAGACATATATTTTGTAATATATTATTTAAGGAGGAGTGTTGTAAAATTTAAGTTTATTGAGGTTTACAAGTGAATGACAATTTTACCCCTACAGTCCTAGAAATTATTACAATTGTATTCGTGATTCTTACCTATAAATATAGGACTCTAGTTCTTATTAAAACACATACAAGTTTATTGACTTCTATTTTCTCTCTTTTCACAACAACTTTTAATAGTATGTAAATTAAGCCCCCGTTTGGCCCCATTTTGTAGAAATGAAAATGGGTAGAGAATAGTTTTTTTTTTTAATTTTTTTTTTTTTGAAAAATGAGTGATTAAAAAAGAATGAAAATTTTTTGATTTACTTGTAATATTATTTTATAGAAGATTGTGTGATTGAAAATAAGAGAGAGAAAAATAAAATATAATGGAATGGAAATTAATTAGGGCCAAACGGGGGTTAAGTTATCTTACTTTCCATTTCCAAAGTAAATAAGATGGATGAGGAATAGATGAGTCTACTATGACATTTTACACTCAAATATGATAAGGCTTAATAAAAATGTTTGTGCATCTCAAGTGTAAAAAATTTAATTACTGAAATATAGGTATGTTCGGTAGCCACTTTGCCCAAATTTTAATACAAAATATGACCGCTTGTGTTTGTTAGTAGGACCCAACTCTGCAACAAGCATTGATTGCAGTGGGACCAAATTACCAAATTGCCATTATTTCCAAAAGAATGAATTTATGTGTAGGGGCAAATTGGTAATTATACTTCAATCAGCCAAAAAGTTTTTTGCCTTGCCCTGACACACTCACTGTGTCACGTCTCTAATTTTTTCTAAAAATTGGATATAGAATGGGCTTCAAACATAGGCATAAAGTTTTGAGATTTGCCTCCCTTGTGTCGGTGTGAGGACAGTTATACGTATAAAAAGGTTAAAGGCAGGTTTACGATGACTATACCCACTACTTTGAATTAATTACCATGTTCTCTAGAATTTCAAGGCTTGCATAATAATATTTTATTTCATTTAAATGGAAGAAATTTGAGCATATTACAATCAAATACTAATCTACAAAGCCGACTCAACATGAGGGTTTATTCATTTTTGGTAGATGGTTAAATTAAAGTTTAAGTGAATATAACACTGGAATTCTGTAAAATGTGTGGATAAAAAGTAGGTTTGATTGAAAGTGATTATAAATTAATCATTTATTGAGGTTGGCCCTCTTTTTCTTTTACCAAATTTTAAAAATTTTAATTTCAAATAATTTTACCGACAAAATATTCATCTATAATTAATGAAAATCTCTTAAAATTTAAATTTTACTAACTAAAAAGTTCATAGGTAACAAACTAACAATAAAAAATAGTAGTGAAGTTTTTTGTCGATGATAACTTTTAAAAGTTATCTTAAATAGAAAATAAAGTAATAGAATATAATAAAAATAAATATTACTCCAAGAACAATTTGTCAGTAATTAAATAACAGTAAAAAATAAAGTAAGATTAAGAACGAATTTTAGTTATACATATTAAATATATAAAAAATTATTAAATTTAATTATCGATGAAAATTTAGGGAGGGTGTATTCAATTGAAACTTTTAATGAATTTTGGGATTTAAAAAGTTTAGGGGTATTTAATTGAGACATTTTTAGACTCTCTAAAAGTTACGGTGTATTCAATTGAGACTTTTATAAACTTTTAAAAAGTTTCTAAAAAGTTACGGTGTATTCAATTAAAACTTTTTAGAAGTCTCTTTAAATCTTAGGGTATTCAAATTTTAATGACTTCAAAAAGTCTCTGAAGTACTAATTTTTAAGTAGAAAGTACTCATACAAAATTTTAAAATTTGTATCTCATTAATCACGAGATTTTGGGAGATTTATACAAAAAATGTTTTTTTTTTCAATATTTCTTTCTTTTAACCTTCTATGAGCGTGTATGATTACAATTTATTTATTTTTATTGATTATATTCCATTTATCTTTCTTTCTGTCTCTTATTACTTATCTTTATTTTTTATGAAAAAATTAAATTGGTGTAACTTTTTTTTTCTTTTCTCATTGATTTTTTTAAAAATATATAATTAAATTTAAATATATTTATTTTTATTTTTTTTAAAGTATACTATACTAATAACATAGAATCACATATATGTATAATTTTGATTATTATTTATTTAATTAAGGTCTTAAATTTTTATTTTTTTCAAAATTTTTTTATGGGTAATTAGCACAAAACGTCCCTATCTTTCATGATTTTTGTGAAAAATGTCCCTATTTTTCGTTTTTTGGCGCATTTCATCCCTACTTTTACCTTTTCTTGTGGAAAACATCATTTTTATCATTTTTCTCAATAAAAAGTTATAAAATGACTAATATACCCTTCTATTTAAATATAAAAAAAAATAAAGAACTAAATGTAATCTTAGTTCCAAATAAACAAAAATAAATTCTCCATCTCCACCTTCTCTTTTGAACTTTTTTAAAAATTGGAACTATAATTGCAATTAGTTCTTTATTTTTTTTTATATTTAAATAGAAGGGTATATTAGTCATTTTATAACTTTTTATTGAGAAAAATGATGAAAATGATGTTTTGTACAAGAAAATGTAAAGTTAGGGATGAAATGCGCCAAAAAACGAAAGGTATGGACGTTTTCCACAAAAATCATGAAAGGTAGAGATGTTTTGTGCTAATTACCATTTTTTTATTATATGGGAAGAAGAAAGGGAAGAAAAAGGAAAATTGTGGGAATTAACACCTTATATATGAGAATTTCACACTAGATTCACATGAATTTTATTTCAAATGAAAATCTTTAAAAGTATTTTGAATTCCACAAAAGTCTATAAAATTTTTTAAATGAAAATCCGTAGAAACTTACGAAAAACTTTCACTAATTCTATACAAATCTATAAAAGATCCACGAAATCCACAAAAGTCATGACTTAAAAAATTCATCAAAGTCTTAAAAAGTCCCAATTGATTACACCATCCTTAGTCAAAATTATTAAAGTAACAGAAATAAAAACTATGATTCAATAGAGAACTTATCCTTAGATGATTTTATATAGAGAAAATAACATGATATTTGAACTTGACTTATAAAAATAAAAATATATAGAAACAAATAAAAGAATTCTTGATAACCTTCTTCAATGATCAAAGCATTATCAGAGATTATTTTCTCTATTAATTTATTATTATTATTATTCTCAAAAAAATTCTTCAACAATTTTGGTTTCTACTTCCAAATTGCTTTGAGCCGCATTGAGAAGGAAGATTTTAAGATAAAGTTTGAGATAAATGTGTTAACAAGCATTATTTTGGTTTTGGATTAAAAAAAAAAATAGTAAATTTTAATAAAAAAATAATGAAATATGCAATAGAAAGAAAGTTGTGGGATCATAAAATATATTATTATAATTAATTTTTAATTTTAACTTAGATTTTAATTCAATTTTCTGTTGAATCAAATATGGATTTAAAAGTTATATTTTTTATTTTTCTAAGAAAACTTACTTTATTTAAAAGCAACTTTTAACTCATTTCTTAAAAAAAAAAAAAAAAAAAAAAAGCTACTTTTTAAACTTAAATGAAAATTTTGAGATATGTGCGATGGAAGTGGGATCCACATGCTGACTAGATGATAAAACTTTAGAGAATCAGGTTTCCGTCGTCCCTTTCTGTATAATTTCTCCAGAGAATATTTAGAAATTCAAGATTTTCTTGCCCTAAATGAAATTGTTGAAAAAATCGAAAACTTCTAAATTTCTAGGTTAGGGCAAGATTTCCTCTCAATATAAAAACCCCTTCTGCCTAATTTTGGAATCTATCTGAATTGTTACTGGTTTTGCATAATTTGGTCAAAATTTTTAATCTTTATGCTCTGCATTATACGTCCGAGGCTGTTAGGGTTATTAATTCGGTTTTTAGCCGTTTGGGAGTTCAAAGGAGCCTAATGATTCAGTGGGTCTTGCAGTAATTAATTGATTTTGTTAAATTTTTTTTGGCTCTTGGCGATTCCTCGGGAAAATCTAGTAATATTTTAAAGCGAATGTATCCTTCTGATATGGATTTTGCCCGCGAAAGTGGCATGATGTTGATCCCCACACGTTTTGTGTGGCCTTATGGTGGGAGAAATGTACTAATCAGTGGCTCATTTACTGGGTAAGAATTCATCAGCATTGGAGAAACTATATCTTTGTGCGTATTTTATTGTATTTGTACCTTGTTTTTGTTATTTTTGGGATGATTTTGATGTTCTTTTTGCTAAATTATTAGCATGATTGAACATTATTATTGTTGTTTTTTGGGAAAAGGTGGACACAATGGCCAATGACTCCGGTTGAGGGATGCCCTACAGTGTTTCAGACTATATGTAGCCTACCACCGGGTTATCATCAGGTTTGTCTATAATGTGGCATTTTGTTAGGAAGTTGTCTTGTGCTTCATTGATGATTTGCACATGATTGTTAGATATGATCAAAAGATATTGAAATTTGATGTCTGTTATGATGATTTATTTGATGGAAATAAATGCTTTATGAAAAATGGCCTACATTGATGATTTTTACATGATTGTTAGATATGATCAAAAGATATTTTAAATTTGATGTCTTTTAGGATGATTTAGTTTGACGGAAATAAATGCGTTATGAAAAGTGGCCTACATTATGTGTTGATTTGCACTAAGTTTGTTATTTGGGGGATCTTATGTTATGCCACGTGCCATGTCTGCTTCAGATCTGTCCGTTAAATTTGATATCATCTGGGATGTACCAATTTTGACTTGCAAGATGATACTTGGCCCTTGTTTGGCCCCCATTGTAATGAGATTTTGGAAATAATGTATTTTGAATAGTAATTTTTTGGAGGATGTGTGGTTAAAAAAGAAGGAAAAGTTTCTGGTACATATAATATTATTCTATTAGCGAATTTGTGGTTGAAAATAAGAGAGAGAAAAATGTATTAAAATTTTAATGAGGGCCAAACAATGGCTTAATTATGACCTCCATTATCTATTGTTCTCATTATTTTTTTGCTCTCGTTGACCTACATTATGACCAATTGATTATGACTGCTGAGAATGGATTTACCATTAAACATTCCTTCTTATTTTATATGTGTTTATATATATGTGTGTGTGTGTGTGTGTGTGTGTGTGTGTGTGTGTGTGTTATTGGAAAAGAAGATGTTTGGAAGCTCAGGGGAAAAAGCGGCATGAGGATTGATTTATAATATGGCTAATGTTGAATTTATAGATAAAGATGGAACTTGACTCGTGAATTGTTTAGATAATGAAGTTCGGAAGAAATAAGTATTGGGCCTATTCGCAAGTAAACATAAATGCTATGAATTTGTCACTGATCATAATAGCTGTGAAAAAAATACTATATGGTAGGCAAGTGTTTTTGCTAAGAGGTTGCTGGCAATCAAATAACTGGCCATGAGAAGGATCGATCCTACACACTTCTCACGTTTATTAAGTTTTCATCTACATAGCTGATTTATGTGATGCTCCTACCTTTAGCCTGTTCTTTGATTGTCCAACCATCTCAAATTATTGTTACCTTACCTAAGCAAACCAATAAATTTTCTTTCTAAAATCCCCATATTAAACTAACATCCTTCTTTTTTTATAATTTTTATCAATATTAATTTGACAAGACATGTCCTTAGACCTTTCCGTAATTAACAACAAGGTAGGAAATGTGATAAAAATGCTAAACCTAAGATGCAGTGCCTGGTTGAACTATATTATTTAATTTCCGACGGTGGAGGAACATTCGATTATGAGAAATCTCAATAAATCTAGTATTTGCGATTGAAAACTTTGTGAATGTTGATTATTTAGTAGAGTATTTGAATTGTTTGCTGATTTCTCATTAACTGTAGCTTTAAGAATTATTGTTTCTTTACGTGCAGTACAAATTTGTTGTCGATGGTGAATGGAGACATGATGAGCATCAACCTTTTGTCAGTAGCAACATAGGAACGGTGAACACTATCCTCTTAGCAAGGGAAGCAAACTACATTCCTGCAATGCCAAGTGCACAAATTCCTTCTGGTCCTGGTTCCAACATGGATGTTGATAATGAGGCCTTCCACCGTGTGGTATACATTTCTGCCCATCTACTTTCCTTCACAAGTACAACAGTTTCTGGTACTTTACTTTGGCTAATGTTTTTGGTAATTGCTGTTCTTACCCTCCTATGTACTCAGTAACATGTTTTAAAATTGTTGTTTCAGTACCGGGTTTGGGAAAATTCTGTTTACCCATTTAAGTGCTTTGGAAAAATCTAAAGGTGGAATATGTTTGATGGTAGAAAACAAAGCCCCCGTTTGAGCCCCATTATTTGTAGATTATAATGAGATGAATAGTGTTTTTTTGAAAAATGAGTGATTGAAAAGTTTTTGATTTACGTGTAATATTATTTTATTGAAGATTGTGTGGTTAAAAGTAGGAGAGAGAAAAATTTAATTTCATGTAATGAGAAATAATGGGGCTCAAACGGGGGCAAACTTACATGCATTTTCAGGAGTCCAAATTTCATATGTTTTTGCATAAAACTGTCTTCAACCATTCTCATTATTATTTATTTTGACACTGTGACCATGTTGAAATAATACACGCACTTGATCTCACGGATCACTTACATGAAAGTGAGCAGATCTGGTTGTGTCACTTACTCGCTTGAATGTCCACTGCAGGTTCAAGTTTCAGATGGTACATCGTATGAGCCCTTTTCAAGGATTTCAGAAGCAGATTTGGAGATATCCCGGCATCGTATAGCTTCATTTTTGTCAATGCATATGGCTCATGAGTTACTTCCTGAATCCGGCAAGGTCTGGATAATTTATCCTTGGCTCCCCTTTCGTCATCTTTTGTTATTGATGTTCCTCTGTCCTTGGGTTAATTCTATTTTAGTTTTCAATGATTTAGTGGCTCTTGGTTTTGCAGGTCATTGCTTTGGATGTTGACCTTCCTGTGAAGCAAGCATTTCATATTCTGCACGAGCAGGTATCAACATTAATAATGCGAAGGCTGAAGTTATTCCAAAGTCCTCTATCTATATCAAGGAATGTTAGATATCTCTATTATTTAACTATAATGTGAAGAGCATTGCTATTGTAGACCTATACGAACTAGTATGATTTTCCAGTTTTATTTCTTCCTTCGTTTTGATTCAAGCGTAATATTTGGTTGTCATGGATGAGAAGAGGTTATCTTCTATTACTTTGGGTGTGCATTAGAGCGAGCATTCTGAAGAAAAAAATGATTTTTCATTTTGCTGATGCTGAAGCTGTTGACCACCGCTAGTTGATAGGGTGGGCTTATAAGCTTGCTTATTTTACTTTTTTCTCTCCTTATAACTAAGCTTATGATCCCACCCAAACAAAAATGGAGAACTTTATGAGGATATGTTGTTGTGAAATACTATTGCCTTCTATTTTAAAAGGATCTACTGGGCTATGGAGTCCTGTTATTTGTTTTTTAATGGCTCTAAGAATCATGAGTGCTGTATTAGACCTACCCCAAGTAAAAGATGTTTTAGACTCGTGTCTTTCATTTCTCATCTTTTTATGAGGTTTGTAGTCATATACTACCCTTCTGGTATATGCACCGTTCTGACACTAGAGTTTTCCAGGGAATCTCTATGGCACCTTTATGGGACTTCTTGAAGGGGAAGTTTGTAGGAGTTCTTAGTGCACTGGATTTTATATTAATTATGAGAGAGGTATGTTCTAAGCTCTCCTTTCTTTATTTAGTAAAGAAGATTATTTAGCTCAATTTTATTGGTTTTCCTTACTCCTTTTCTTTTCCTTCATGACATTTCAAATGGGTGTATCAATCTATGCCTAGCGCACTTTTCTAATCTTTGTTTCCTTTTATTAGTATATGTGAACTAATGTAATTGGCATGTCACATATATTCATTGGAAAAGTATAGTTCCTTACTCGTGTTTTGCACATTTATCGCACGACATACAATGTTAGACCTAATAAATTAGTATCTGTTCAGCTGTTTGAAGTAGGAAGGGCAATAGATATTTAAGAACTGATAAATGTAGGACACAGGTAATAAATTTTTGGCCACCTAAAATTCTGAATTTTTTGGCCGTCATCCTATAGTGATAAAGTATCGTCTGATGTTGTGTCAGACCACTTTGTGATTGAGGATATTGATAAAAACAAATGACAATATATTTATCATTTTAAAGTTGCTGTTGTTTTTGGCACTTAATCTGCACTGAGGTTAAAGTTAGGGATGGATATGGGACACAGAAGCACTTGTATCACCTAATTTATCAGTGTTTCAAATAATCTCGTCTACCAGGTTTTGGCCCCCTATTTATTGGTGCTTGTTTTTCAGTAATTTGTGGCATAGGTATGCCTTGATTCACCTTAAACCATTTCATGGTTTTTTTAGGTTTCTTTCTGCATCTAATGTGTCTTATTTATGTTGCAAGCATAATTAAATATAGGCCATAAAATTATTTTGTCATAGTTGATGAGTGATGAATAATACTTGCTACCGAATGATGTATTTCTTCTCTGAGTATCCTAACTTTTCATATAACTATTAGTTACTAGTTTCTGTACCGTGAAGTCTTGAAATGTGCGGTTTCTGATAGTCACTCTGTATTGGCAGCTAGGTAATCACGGGTCCAATATGACAGAGGAAGAGCTAGACACACACACTATATCTGCTTGGAAAGAAGCAAAGTCATACTTGAATAGTCAAATTAATGGGCATGGAAGTGCTGTTCCAAGACTTTTTTTGCATGTGAGTACTATTTGTTGAATGTTACCATATCTATTTCACATGAAAATTCGTAGATAAATCTTATGCGTACTAATATTATGGAATGAACAATTGGAACCTACTTTTGTCTTACAAGTCACATCCCTGTGATGATGGAAGGCGTCGACACACTTGAAACTAATATTTGATGTAATGAACGATTCATATAATGTTTATCTTTTACACCTTGTGATTACTGAAGCCATCTCCATACTGGCATCATTCTGCGAGTAAACATTCTGCTGAATTATAACTTGTGGAAAGTCCTGGTCTAGTCAGGGAAGTGAGAACCAGGTATAATATGACTGACCCAATGATAGGTGTATTACGGTCTAAAGAGTGGTTTTACTTGCCTCTGCGACAAAAGTGTTAAACTCACAATACATCCATTACCTATTAGATTGATAAACAATGCAGTTGGTGCAAATTTTGAAGGAAAATGACATTCATTGTCGTGGCCAGGTTTTTGCTGTATTTGCTTATTTATATAGTCTTTCTGCAGAAAATGAATGTTCTATTTGATCTACTCATTTCATTTAATCTACCATTCAAATAGTGGTGTTTTGTCATAATGCGCTTTCTCTATGAAATAACTCGTTAGCATAAAATATTGTTCCAATAAAAACACCTTAAGTGCCAAAAAAATCAGCCCAGACCTTCATTTGAGATGGAGCTAATTATTTTCAATCTGGTTAACTGGTTCTTTTTCCCTATAAGCATGAACATAATTCCTTTCTGTTGACTTAATGATGATTTTTCAGGCCGGGCCAAATAACAATTTGAAAGAAGTTGCTTTGAAGATTTTGCAAAATGGTGTGTCTACAGTTCCTATTATCCATTCACCTTCAGAGGATGCATCAAACCCACAGCTATTGCATCTTGCTTCTCTTTCCGGAATACTGAAATGTGAGGAAAATGTGCAACTACTCGTGTGTGTGTGTGTGTGTGTGTGTGTTTATGTGTGGCGTAGTCTCGAAAACAACATATGCTGTGTTCTTGACATTCTTGCACTTGACAGGTACTGGCCGATATTTCAGACATTCATCAAGCTCAGACCAGTTGGAAATAGACATGTTCGGATCACATAACATGTAATTTCCATGCTACACTCCCATAATTGATCTATGTCATTTGGTTGTATGGGTGTACGTGACCATTGATAGATTTAGTCAATCTAAATGTGACGAAAATCGCTTTGATCCTACATCGATGTAACCAATGGACGAGATTGTTTGGAAATACCTTTAATAACTATAGCACAATTTTGAGCTCATAAGTCTGTGCACATTTATAATGTAACATGTTTGGCCCAGTGGGAGATTGTTGGAAAAAATTTCAACTTTGGGGGCCACACATGTACATTTATTAGAATGTGTGGTGCTATTTTAAAGTAAATATAGTCGATAAAGTGATCCATTGGATTTAATTTTGGACTAATGGGTATTAAATTTTATGGGATTAAAGTGTAGAGACCAGAAGGTATTATTTTGAATTGATGAGGGGCCGATTTGAAATAACTTAAAGTTAATAACTGCCAATAGCAGTTATTTTAAAAAATGGTTATGGTCCCCAATTTGAATGTGATTCTTTTTATGGTATCTCTGCATCCCCATCAACAGAGATTTTTTTCTAGAAAACAAAGGAAGGAAAATCACGTATCAATTGGAAGATCAAAACCCAATTAAAGCAGTCAGATTCATGAATCAAGGTATGTTTCCGCACTTTTCGTTGTCTCTTTGATTTCAACATGTAATTTATGATTTTATGAAAGGATTTTATGAATATGGTTCCTTTCAATTTGTGCAACAGGGGGTTCATTCTGCAAAATTTTGTACTGTTTCCGTTTAGACATACCAGCTATATCTTTTCCTTTGGGATGTCCGTTTCAATAAATATTTCCTTAAGGAAGAAAAAATGGCATGTTGACCTTTTTTGCTTTGCATTCTAATATTTCAGGAGAACCGTTTTTAGCATACCATGTGGTCCTTCTGCTTTGACCATTAAGAAGCAGCATGGGGCCTCATTTGTTAGTTTGCAATTTCTCAGGTACCTATCTAAATCTCAATTCCACCATATTCCTTATATTTCTCTTTCGGGCGTGCTTCCCTTGTTTCTTCTAGGTGTTTATTCTTAAAAACTAGAAGAATGAGTTACGAGACCGATATTTTTCTATTGGTGGTGATATGATATATTTTGTTTCACCCCTGTTTGACAACCATTATTTCAAAACTCTTTATTCTACATACTTATTTTCAACCACATATTCACATAATAAAATATTATACACGTAAATCCAAAAATTTGCCCTACTTTTAAACCACACATTCCCTAAAAAGTCATTATTTAAACTTTGTTTTTGCCAAATAATGGCCATCAAACAGGGGCTAAATGTCTTATTTGAACTTTTTGCTCCTGAACACCGGGGAGTTATCTGATACAATAATTATTAGTTTTTTGCTCCAAGTTTGTTGCATGATGTTCAGACAGGGGAGAAAAATCACATGTTGCCTTCATTCAGTGCAAAATAAAAATTGTTAACGAAATTGTATCTTGGGCTTTAAATGTGCCAAAGTTGTGCACAGTGGAGGAGTACATATGATGTAGGTGTGTATGTTGATTTAGAGAAATTGAAGGTCTTTGGTAAATGTGAGCTTGGCGAACTTTTGGTTTTGAACAATTTGATCGAATTAGAAATTTGTGGAAGAAAAGCTGCATATGTTTTATTACTTGTGACCTTTATTTACCAATGCAATTCAGAGATAAAGAGGCACATTATTCCTTGGCTTTGCATGTACAGTTTTTGTGTTGACTACCTAATTTGGGACTTATAGGCATTGCAATACCGAGATGACCCCTTAACAACGTACGACTACGGGAATCAAAGATGTCACATGTGTCTGCGGTTCGATTCACTTCATAAAGTCATGGATAGATTATCCAAGCCAGGTGAACTATTCTTTGCTTTTTGTTGCTTACAATAAGAGCACGTTAAGCTTGAAAGTAAGTAAAATTTACTGGTTGCCGAACATGTTTGTGTATGTTACTTCTTAGAAAGTTGCACGTTTTGAAAGGATAGTTTTTATCTTGCTGTCAGAATAAGTGAATAACTATTCATTTGGTTAATATTTCCTTCTCAGGCGTCAGACGACTTGTTATTGTGGAGGCTGGAAGCAAACGCGTAGAAGGAATTATATCACTGAGTGATATCTTTAGGTTTCTTTTGGGTATTTGAAACATTGCAAACAGCAGATCGTGTTAAGGGGCGCCCACCTGCAAGGAATCTCAATTCTTTCGTATAGACAATCGGTCGGCCTCATATTTCGTGGCCTGGCCCTTTAGGTTAATAGGCTGAAGAATGAGGCGTGTAAATTGTAATATTGTCGTTTTGCCTGGTGTCCCCTCGGAAGATGTCTTTACCTAATGCAAGGCTAATGCACCCGCCCGTTCTAATGAAAAACTTTTGGGAAGCAGAGATGTTTATTCTAAATAGGATGTGAGGAAATAAGGAAAGGAGATAATTATTGGATGATTGGGGGGTTTTACTCAAACTCTATGTTTTTCATTTTTTCAGTACTAAACTTTCTGGTACATGTTATAGTCACCAATTGCACCAGTTATATTGGTTTTTCTTTTTGTCGACATTCCAGCTGGAAACCCCATTTTGTTCTTTGTTTCATCTAATTGATCTAAGGCTGTATGCTCGTAGTGTTATATGAATTTTCTTTTTGACAATCAATCAAATTTCGTTCATGGAGCTGACTCTGAGCAGGGGCCAAGAAAAAGGGAAAACAGCTTTTTACAACTTGTAATCCATAATGCGTGAACCAGTTGCCATGGTTTTTTTTGTTAAGCATATTTCAAAGTGCGTGTTTGGAAAGTGATTAAATAATTAAAGCCATTATAAGCTCTATGAAATGTGTAGATTCATACTAAAATGTGTGAATAATCAATTCCAAACATGCCCTTATTGATATGATCCAAGAGTTGAGTCCATCGAAGGCATGCTTGGAAAGAGATCCGTTGATTATCAACGGAGGTCCAACGACGCGTTTGAGAGCAAAGCAAGTTAGAGGCGATGGGATTACTTGTGCAATTAACAATTGATGAAACATCGATCGTATTGCAAAAAGAGGTAAGTTTCATGTTAGGGTCAAAGGACGAAACCAATTGGATTAACGCGTTGCAAGGGGCTGAAGGTGGTACTAAAACAAAACACTATGCGATAGAATAGTGTTAAAAGCCATGCGGTCGCATGGTGGTCTACTGAAACTTAAGAGGGGAATTTCAAATGGCTTGTGCGATTGCAGTGAAAACTACCATGCGGTTGCATGGAAGGTTTTTGAGGCAAAAATTTTCCTTTTTGCGCGAATTTTTTATTTTAGCTAGGATTCCTAATTTTTGGTATCTTTTAACATCACAAGTCTTTAATTCCATTTTATTAGGTTTATTAGTATGGTATAAATAGAACTTTATATTTTCATTGAAAACAACTTTTGACATTCATTCTTTTGAGATTACTAGTCACCTGCTCGTGCAATGCACGGGCTGTATTATTTTCAAGGTAATATTAGTGTATTAAATATGTTGAATTCTCATTAATTACATTTTGAACTAATAATTGTTTGAACCGATTTTCAACCATCTACTTCTGAATAAATGAATTTGTAATAAGAAAGTAAACTGATGTAGAGAAATTCAACTGGATCAAAATAGTAAGATATAAAACCATAGACAGATAGATGAAGCAAGAAATTAAAGATTGACATGCTCTATAGATGATACGTATACTACAATCCTTTCTTAGAATTGTTCTCATAGTTCTGTTTTCAAATAGTTCACATCTTTAATTGGTGGTTATGAGAACTTCTGTCCTAACTGCATCAACCAATATTTAAATTTTCGGAACATTAGAAAATAGAGATATTCAACAAGAAAAATATATTATTGTGATGATCTGGAAAGAAATTCACTATCCTTCTCAGGACCTTATTTCCACGCCAAAAATTGGTACAATATCATTGAATAAAAGTCTTCAAACTGAAGCAAATTTTTTACAAGAATTAGTATGTTTCCATCCTAGATTATATTTAGCAAACTTAGGGCATAAATTCAACCTTGTCAATGGTTGGAAAAACAATTGGTCTCAGTCATTTTGTAGAAATGGAAACGCAAGCATCATTAGCACCTTCCCATGCTGCTCCAATGTTATCCATTATATTGTGGAACTTAAAAATTGAAATAAAAAGAAATAAAAACAGCGATCAACACATATTGATAATCCTATTATAAGATAAGAAAATTAAATATTTAAACAAAATTTTAAAGTTAATTACAAAGAAAATTTAGTGCCATATTAGCTGCATTTTGCCATTTCCATTAGTACGATCAAAATAAAAAATTTCACTTGTGAAAAACATTTGTTAATCTTTATTCTTTTTTAGTCGAATAGACTTGTGGATTAGAAGGTTATTGAGTGATTATTGAAGATTGCTAGCTGCAAAGGTTTAGTGTTTTTATTAATAATTGAAGATTTTGAATTGAATTTTTTTATTTGTGAAAAATATTTGACCTCTACTTTGATTTCAAATTTTAGTTTCTGCATCTCTTCTTCTCAAAACTTCCTACAACGAATTACGAAGATAATACATTAAGGTCTTACGATTGGATGTTTCCTTTACAAGATGAAGTCGAAGTCTAGCCAGAAATTTCCCACATGCAATAACGATCAGTACTAATAGGGCATTTTTATCTAATTTCGAAATACAACATAAAAAAGTGTACCATGATTCATGCAAAGCTATATATTCTAGAAATAGCAAAAACATGGAATAAACCAATGCATACAAGAATTAAAAGGAAAAATCTGAAATTGAAACTAAAAGGTACCTAACTGGACAGCTAAGACGGTATCACCCTCGGCGATCTGCTTCTTCTGGGACCATCTGTGGCAAAACCCAAACACCAGAACATAGAAGAAACAACAAATTACTACTATTTGAACCCAAAAGAAGTAATGAATTTGAAATTGATGTTTTCTTCCCTCTTGCCCTTTTAAGTGGAATTTCATTTTACACCGTCCATGTACATCTTCTTAAGGTTTGAGAGATCTCACAATTGAACTTAGTGCAAAACACTTCGTTTTCTTCCAAAAAAAGAAAGCCAATTCAAAAATATTGATCAGAATCAGCATCACAGGTAAAGGTGCAAGATATTAAAACATTTAGAATCAAGCATATACTGCCTTGCACATTAAAAATCTTTACCATGCACAACCACAACTCTTTTCTCTTTTGCACAGCATTGTAAACAGAAAAAATTGTATTGACATATAAAGTAGAAGAGTTGAAGCAATTACCTCTACAAAATTTGGATCCAAAGTGGTGTTGATTTCGGAAGCTTCTCCTTGATTTATCTTTACCTCATTAACATTCTAATTAAACAAAACCAAAATGTAAACATAAAAATGAAAATGAAAATTCCAAATCGCCATTTCCATAAAATTCATGCAATAAACTCAAAACGTAACTAATTTAGCTTTAAAAAGCATGAACTTTCAAAACTCAATTGCAGTTACCCAATAAAAGTAGCTACTTTCACAAATCTAAATAAAAACAGAGATTAAATGTAACCAAAAAGAAAAAAAAACAAGGATAAATGAAAGACAGGCGCATTGATGGGGTAGTAAATGATTGAAGAACGGGGGTATGAATTATTGAGAAAATAATATGAAGGTACTATTATACAACTCTAGTAGAAGAAATTGTTTACCTGTCTATGATTGGATTGCCTTCTCACCTTATACTGTAGTTGCTTTCTCAAGATCTCTCCCCTTCGAAGGTTTCAAGAACTCAAATTTTTGAGAAAGAGTAAGGGAATATAGTAAGATTTCGTTTGGTGTGGAGAGATAAAGCACGCATGAAGTGAGAGAGAGCAATAGCCACTTTAAGGGGAATTTTAGTGAACCACCTTAGTAAATTATTATTCAAATGGTTGGTAAACATTTTGACCAATATTATTTTTTGGTCAATCAAATGAAAAGAACCCAATGAAAAATGATGGGTGATTGTGTGCAGAAATGGAGAAGCAGAGAGACATGGCTGTAGCATATGAAAATGGAGAAAAAAGTAAACAAAAAATGATTGAAGATAATACGACGTCGTTTTTGCTCTCACAATAATAATAATAATAAAAAGCAAAGAAAATTTGCTACAGTGTGATATATATGCTAAATAATTGACAAAGTAATAAAACTCTCAACGTATTTTGATTCAATAATCAAGAGCTATATGTCCGTGAAATGAGGAAAATTAAATGATTTAACAAATTAAAGAAAAAAAAAAAGAATTGCAGACAAAAATAAAAAACTCAAAAAGTTATAATAATTTTTTTTAATTAAATTGAAATAATTTAAATTTAAAATAAATTTAATTTAATTAA